CCTAGCTGTATCAGTTCATGAGAATGCATCTATCTGTATTTACTTCTAAGATAACAGAGCTTTTTCTATAGCTTTCTTTTTTTCCTTCTAAGCCCTCACCAGAACTAGCATATTTCTAACAACAATTTCTTCAAAGCAGTACAGGTGAGTTTGTTTCAATTTGCTAAAACCTTCTACCCCTCTACCTACTTCCAAAATGACTGCACCATTTCTAAATGTCTATTACACCAGCACTCTACTTTTCAGCATTAAAAATCTTGAGTTTGGGTGCTGAGAATGTGGCTCAGTGGTAGAGTGCTTGCCTAGCATGTACAAAGCCCTGGGTTGGATTCTTCAGTAACACATAAACAGAAAAAGCCAGATGTGGTACTGTGGCTCATATGGTAGAGTGCTAGTGATAGTGCAAAAAGAAGCTCAGGGGCAGTGCCCAGGCTGTGAGTTCAAGCCCTGGGACTGGCAAAAAAAAAAAAAAAAAAAAAAAAAAATCTTGAGTTTGCTAGGACTGGCACAGTACAGGCCAAGTAGCCTAAACAGATTTGTTTTCTCATAGTTCTAGAGGATGGCTGTACAGGTCCCAAGTGTCTTCTGAGGCTACCTTCTTTGTGTCCTCACATGGCAATCCTCTGCCTGTATTGGCTAGTTACCAATCTCCACTTATAAGGACACCAGACATGTCTGACTGAGGCCCACCTTAATGACCCCCATATACTTTAATTTTTTTTTTCTCCAAATATAGTTACATTCTGCCTACTAGAGGTTAGGCATTCAGCACCTATCATCTGGGATGTGTTACCAGACTTAACCAGGGTACTGTGGTCTTCATGTCAGAACGTGCATTTGTTGGTGGTAAAAATATTGCTCCAAACATGCTGGGGAACACAAAGGCATCAGGGAACAAATTGCTACATCTCTAATGCTCAAGACTTGCCAGAGAATGTACCCAATGGGTCAGGTTATCCTTTCCTAGTTACTTTTCTCCTGCCCAGGGAGGGAAAGGCAGGTTGCTCACTCATCTTTATTCTTCATTTGTCTCAAGAGGATCTGCTCCCCCAGGACCTCTTGGTAGCGAGAAATCAAATTACTCTAATGATGGGCTAGTAACTTGATGGTTTCCTATTTTTTGCTTAATATGAAATGAAGCAATGACTGGGGGACTCATTTAAATAATTTGAACTAAAAGATGACTAGTTTTAACATACAATTAAGAAAATATTAAGAGACTTCAGTAGCACTATTACAATAAAATATTCAGTCTCATGTATTCTCTTAAGCTCTTATGTTACAGAAAAAGGGAAAAAAATAAGAATAAAATTTATGGTTTAGTTGCCAATGGCTCATGCCTGTAATCCCAGCTACTCAGGAGACTGAGATCTGATGGTTGTATTCAAAGCCAGTCCAGGCAGGAAAATCAATGAGACTCTTATCTCCAATTAACCACCAAAAGGCCAGAAGTAAAGCTGTGGGTTCAAGTGGTAGAGCATGCTCAGAGAAAGTGTCCTGACCCTGAGTTCAAGTCCTAGGACTAGCAAAAAACAAAACCAAGAAAAATTATGCTGAACTGTTTTATTCTATCACTAAGAATTTTTTATTAGTGATGCTTTATTATAAAATTACATAAAACATGAAGTAATGGGAGAGAAAGCAGCTAAAGCAATCTCATAAAGATCTACTTCCCTTAAGATTTTTATTTTATACTTAAGGACTTATATTAACATTTTCAATAAGTACTTTTTTAATTTTAATTTCTCATTGTGCAGCCAAAGCTGGTCTGGAACTCTTTTTGTATTTGCCTAGATCTCTTTAGTTCTGGGATGATGGGAAGCATCATACCCAGGGCTCCTTATATTATTCTGAATATTTGTGCTAATAACTCAGAATTGGAGGTATTTTTTAACAAGTTATAACACTGTATTCCATAAACTAATAGTAGTTAAGGTTTACACACTAGTGGTACGTTTCTTGCTACTATTTTTGGGAATAAATTCATGTGGGAACAAACTGGAAAGGAAATGTTCAGTTCAAAAAGAAAAAGGAACAATGTAAATATTTAGATCTAAAAAGATGGATAATGGTGGGCATCACATTTTATGGCATCAGCCTCCAAGTTATACTTTTAGGTTTAAAAGAGAATGGTGTAACATCATTGTAAATGACATCCTTTGAAATTACTAAAACTTAGGATCAGAAAAATACTATACTTATTCATCTAGAGATGAATAAGCCAAAATGGATGAAGACCTCTGTTGTGACAAGTACCTGGCTTATTCCTCTAAACAGATATTGAGATACAACAATATCTTTATACCATGATCAGGGATTGTAAACATAAGGTTATATATAAGACAGTATTCTTTTGGCTAATATCCCTGCTTTCAAATATGTTTCAAATATGTTGCATAGTTCCAAATATGCAATTGATCAATTTTCCTGAGGAATATACAGGTATTTACAGTATGCTAATACACCAGAGATAAACACAATACACTAAGAATGAATCATGTGGCTTTAAATAAAATGGTAAAGTATAACACACAGTCTGAACAGTCCTGGCAAAAACTGACTGAGACTCTATTATCTCAACCAATGGTTGGGTATAGTGGCACATGCCTATCATTGTATGAGCTAGACAAAACAGGGCTATTAGAAGAGCTCAAGTGGTAGAGCAATGCCTAGCAAGTCAAAGGCTTGAATTCAACCTGCCCCCGCCAAAACCAGCTCCCAGTCTCCACAAAACTACACAAATGAAACAGTTTTAACCTTAATTGCTAAGAAGAGAAGAAATTCTGGCTTTGTTATATGCTAGCCATAGGACCTGGCTATTCTACTTAACTTCCCACACTTGCCATGTGTAAAGCAAAAATAATAATAGTACTTCTACGGGGGTACCCATGAGAAGTTAACTAACATACAAAAAATGTTTTGGGGCGTCTAGGAATACACCATCAATAAATGATAGTTCCTACTATTCATATTATATTATTGCTATTATAGAAGTTCTTCTTATCTTGCTAATTTAAATTTTCAGGGTACCTAGAATTTCCAAATTACTTATTATGTTTTCATCTCTGTTTGGGTGAGGAGAGAATGACAAATTTAAAAACTGAGCATTTCAGGCATTTAGTTATAGTTTGGGACTAGCACACATCATTTCATTTATTTTGCCATCTGATCCTTGTATACTGAGTGTTCACTTGGATTAGGAAGGTCCTCATTTGGCTGTTTTGTTGGAGAGTTATTTAACTTCTCTAGGTCTCAGTATTCAGATTGACAAAGTAGAAACAATACATACATTGTATAATTACTGAGAGAATAAAACTGAAATGGCATGCATTCCCCACAAACACTTATAAATATTTCTTTGAAGTTTGCCTTGTATTGTGGTGCTGGAGATGGAACCCATGGCCTCTCACATGCTGCAGAAGTGCTCCACACCAAGCCATACCCCAGCTTTCCTCTAAGTTTTAAGACAAGGATCTTAAGTTCATATAAAAGTTCAGTTTTGCAGGTCCGTCAAGTTAAGGATAAGAGCATGGAAGTCACCTCCTCACCTCAATTGCTCTTTATCTTTCACTCCTTCTGTTCTTTTGCTTCAATGCTTCTTTGGTAAATTTAATTTACATATCATTTCCTTTTAAAAATAGGTGGGACATAAATGATAAAATTATTTGCAAACTAAATGTGAACTGACCTCAGCAGTTGTTTTCGTCTGACTTGCAGTGGACACAACACTGGAGCCAAGGGCCCTCTATGTGCTCCACAGCCCACACCAAGTCAATGATCCAGCCCCTCTAATATACACAAACAGGAAGGACAACCAGAAGGCACTTATAGTATGCAATCCTGGGCAAATGTGCCAGAAAGCTGATGAAAGAATGCCTCTACTAGGAAAAGAATCGGGCCAGAATTTACTGGCCCAACTCTTTTATGGTCTTAGTGACAACACTTTGGTTGCCCTTTTCACCTAGAAATTTAATTAATCAAATCTGATTTTTATCATTTTTATCAAAAACATTTTGTTTTTCCTGAGCATATAAGATAAAGAATTACAGACCCAGAAAAAAGGCTTTGTGTGTTTCCAGCAGGAGTAGGCCTAGAACAAAGGGTCTCTAAGAGCATAATCAATGTGCTTTGAAGGGCATCACAACATGGGTGTCTGGTGAACTGGTAACCAGAGACAAAGATCCAAAGGCTAATGAGGATCTGGAGCCATTATGTCTATGTGCCATGTGGCCCAGGCACTCTCCAACACTGGCTGCCCACATAGATTTTGTACATCCTTGAGACCACTGGATATAAGTGAGGACACAGTTGGTAACCTCCTGCAGTCCAACATTCTTCATGGAGTTTTACTGAAGAGCTAAGCCCCACAAAAAGTATAGGGGAAAAAAAAACCTGGCAAGAATGTTGTCATGACAATAAATTACAAGGGATTCTAAGCAGCTCATCCTGGTTAAATGCCTCTATATCACTTTCTGTTTTCTGTGTTCTCTGATCACAAAGGACCCAGGTAGGCCTCCTACTAATAATCATCACAGGGCTATGAGAGCTGACCGGGCTGAGAAACCACAACATAGTCCAAAGAGCCCACCCATGGCTGATGCTCTTCCACTGAGCTGTGGGAGATCATGCAGCAAGAATGGTGCACCACGCATGCTCCTGGGATAGGAGACAAAACATGACAAAGCAGTGAAAATGTTCTCTGAAACAGAACCAGATACTAATTCAGTTATTCTGTTTAAGGAAGACAATGTGAGGCACTAAAGCTTTGTTATTAGCTTACCATAAGATAAAGACTTCAAACACAAATCACTACTGGGGGTCTATACTTCCTAATTAAAGGAATGCTTGCTTAGAAAAGGTTTTCTGTGTTTTCACCACCACATCCCTAAACATTTCATGTTTAGTTAAAACCATCATTCAACCCTATATAAAAACCATTTAAAGGGGTGTGGGTTCCCTCTCAAGTAGCCCAATGAAACATGGAAGATGACCGCACTCACATGTCTTCCACTGTGATGTCTTTCAGGATCTGGCAATAATCCACGTTCCACACAGCCTGGTCATCCCACACCTTGGAGGCCAGCAGAATCGCCCCTAGAACAATTCGCTTCCAGTTGGCCGGACATATATCTATCTCTGCATACGTTAAGAGTCTTTCAAGGTATACCTGGGAAGATACAATGATGCAGAGCTAAAGTAGCCTTAGTTTTCTCCTACACACTGCTAGATTTAATAATTTTATTCTGCCAGCCTTTCAAAGGCATCATGTGATCACCTATCTGTAAATAAATCTGATAAAAACTGGGCTGAATTCACCCTCTGTAACAGGACAAGGTATATATAACTAGACCTTAAAGATTTTTAAGACTGAGGCAGGACTGTCCTAGGAGCCACAGGTTAATTTTTCATTTTATCAACTATGAATTCAACACAAATACAACAACTTTCCCAACAAAAAGTATGAAGAGGTAAAGGAGATAAGCCTACGTATATTACCCACTGGGATTTGTAAACATTGACATTTTCGAGACAATTGTAGATTTACATGCCATTGCTAATGATGTGATGCTTTTATTATTGTGGTAAAAGACACACAACACATTACCATATAACTATTTTCAAGTTGAGAAGTCTGCAGCATCAAGTCCATTCACATATGTCTAGAGTTATCACCACTATCCAACTGTAGACATATTATCCCAAACTAACACTCTATACTTGCTAAACAACTCCTCCCTTGTCCTCTTCCCGAATCCCTGGCAACCACTACTAAACTTTCTGTCTACAAATCTGACTTAATGAGTAATAACATTGTATTGTATGCCTATGTTCTATTTTGTTTACTCTATCACCTGTCAGTGGATATTTGAATCACATCCTCTTATGGCTACTGTGAATCACACTGCCATGAACACTAGTGTACAAATATCTCACCAAGTCTGTGCTTTTGATTCTTCTGTATTACACTCAAAAGTAAAACTGCTAGACCATATGGTAACTCTATGCTCAACTATTTGAGGAGCCATCATACTTTCTTCTGTGGCAGGGAGGCCATCTTACACTCATATAATGCATACACCACATTCTTCCCACACTTGTTCTTTTCTGTGTTTCAGGTATCTTAACATGTATTAAGTGGTATACTTCACTGTGATCTTGATGTGATTGACCTATTTTTAAATATTTGAGCTGAGTTTCGAAAATGAAATGAAGTGATGGAGGATTTCTAAATGGGCAGGATTTAATTCACACCAAAAATATGCATAAAATCCTTTACTTAAACTGGATCATGAATCATAAAAATGCCACTTACTTTTCCAAAGTAAAAGTCTGAGGAAGTGGCACTATGGCTCAAGTGGTAGTGCACTCACCTTGAGCTGAAGAGCTCAGGGACAGCGCCCAGGCCCTGAGTTAAAGCCCCACGATGGACCAAAAAAAAGAAAAAAAGGTCTGTTTATTAGAGGTTTTTATACTTTTCTGAGTGATGGAATATTATTTAAATACATTATTATTATTTGCAAAATAAGAGCTCTGCATGAGAAATGAAATTTAACAGTATCCATACTCAAGAACCAACTTTTTAAAACAGATGAAATCTACATAGAATTATAATTACTCACAAATGTAACGTCATTTTGCTTAAATATAAAAAGATATGACAGGAAAAATTAAAATATACAAAGTACTGATTATTTTCAGTGAAATAATAACTATGTTCACAAACGGGAATGACCAACCAGGCACCCCATAATACTTTGTAGAAGCTGAACTTTGGCAAAGTGTTGAGAAAAGGGGAAATAACCCTGATTAGCAACAAGCACCTAAGTGATACAAAGTACAGGACAATGCCAGAAGTAGACAACAAAACAACAGAATGAGAACAGATAAACAAAAGGCTCACTCAAAGAGTCAACTTAATCCACTACTCTCAGTACAAGGAGCAAAAGCACTCTGGCAAGCCTTTGTTAACCCTGAAGGCATGAGAAACAAGGTCTATTTAGATGCAGGGCTGGGGAAAGGACTGGGAAATAGCAAATGGGGTTAGGTCTCGGGGGGAAAAAAAATAAAGGAATTCTGACAGAGAAGCAGCATGTGAAGTGGGGACCTAACAATGGGGGCCAGAAGGCCCCTATCTGCAGGAGCTCCTAGGATCCTGGTGGCTGGATAGGCTGGGTCCCTGGAGCCAGGGAACATGGGGAAGAAGTAGTGATAAAGACCATCAAAGGCTCTGCTGTGGTTTGGTTCTGTTTTCCTTTCCTTTTCTTTTTTGATGGTACTGGGGTTTGAACTCAAATGCTAAGCTGGTGCTCTTAACACTTTAAGTCATTGCTACAACATTGTTATTTCCTTCCTTCCTTCCCTTCCTTCTCTCTTTCTCATTCCTTCTTTCCCTTCTGTCTTTTCTTGTGCTGGTCCTGGGGCTTGAATTCAGGGCCCAGGTGTTATCCTTGAGCTTTTGTGTTCAAGGCTAGCACTCTAACACTTTCTACTTCTGGCTTTTTTGCAGCGAAGGAGTGGGGGTGGGGGCCACAGCGACAGTGAGCAGATTGCTTAATTATAGGTAAGAGTCTTATGGATTTTCCTGCGCAGGCTGGGTTTGATCCACAATTCTTCCACTCTTTGCCTTGAAAGCAGGATTAGTGGTGTGAGCTACAAGCAACCAGGTCACAGGTCTGACTGGGCAGCCCAAGAAGTCATCACTGGGTAGTGAATATGCAAAGAATAAATGAAGAGGGGCTGGGGGTTTAGCCCAGCGGAAGGGCGCCCGCCTGGCGTGCGCAAGGCCGTGGGTTCGCTTCTCAGCCCTGGTTTAAAAAAAAAAAAAAAAGAATAAATGAAGATGTAAATTTAAGGCTATGACACAATCAATAGAATGACTGGGGGTAAGAAGCTAAGATAGAAGAACCAGGCCTAGGGCGATGGGATGAAAGGTAGCAAAGAAAAGGTATGAACAACCTGGTGTGCTCTGTTTTGTTCTAGTTTGGAGAACTCAAAAGGCCAAGTTACATGTTTGCAAATGCCTCAGTTAGAACTACTACATACACAGGTGAGATGGAAATCCAGTGTCTTTCACAATAGCCAAGTCAGCATGAGGACACTTCAGGCAGGGACCTTGTGAGAGAGGGAAGGGGTGCAGCAGGAATGAAGAAAAGTAGAGGAAAGGGGGGCGGGGGAGGAGGTTAGGGAAAAGGAAAAAGATTTTACTGGAAGCAAAGCCTGAGAAGATTCAGGAAAGTCAGACATCAGTGAGCACAGAGTACCTGGCTTAGCTGGATTTATTTGGCATGAGCATCTATTTGAAAAATCTGAGCAATCATTAACTCAGAACTATTATCAGTATGAACAGGTTTCCAGCTGCTCTTTGAAAACTGGTACATGTGCTGTACAAGGGAAGAACCGGCCACACTAGGCCAGTTTTGAACACTGCCAAAGGATACAGACATACACATATGCACATGCATGAACACAAGTTTGCAATCAGGACTAACTCTTGCTGCCCTTTGCCCTATAAGAAAGATCTCTGTAGCTCAGAAAGTGGTCCCAGTGGAACAGCACAAGAGAAAGAAGAGAGCAAAATATGTAGAGTGTGACCCAAGATTGTCATCCTGGCTTGTGGGGACTCTGATTTAGGGAGGTTCCTGTAATTCCAGGATGGGTAAGAGAAGCTCACTGGCCTGAACTATTTGTACAAACCTCAGGAATCTTGGTATATACTAAGCAAAGAATGCCTATGTGGGCAACCCTCAATAAAAACTTGGGTGCTGGGTCTTCAATGGACTTTGCTGGCTAGAACCATTGTGCAAGTACTGTCACAGCTCACTGCTGATGTATGAAGTATACCATGTGACAGCCCTGGGAGAAAGGATGCTTGTAAGTGTGCACTTGGTGTCCCCCAGATCTCACCCATTGTACCTTCTCTGTGCTGTTTGTTGTGTTTTTCCACTGTCATGAATTATAGTTGCTAAGTACTCCTGTGAACAGTCGGATTAAGGATGTTGTAGGAACTCACAATGCATGTTTCTACATGTTGTACTTTATTAGTTAGTTCTTTAAAATACAAGATTATGAACAGCATTTTAAAAAATGAAAACAAAATGCAGAGCAAGAGTTTCCAATTCAGTATGTTGAAATAATAGCTTCCAAAATCTTTGGGGGAGGGACACATATATACCAAGAGAGAATTTGTATTTTATTTCAATATTCAATTTTTTATGTTAAGCCAAGTTAAAAAGTACTAAAAGTTACTGCTCTGGACTCTTCTGAATTGTGAGTGATGATTTAATCTCAAGCCTGCACCTGTTTTCAATTCAAATGAATCAGCATGTGGATGCTATCTTAGTTTTAAAAAAACTAAGATAGGTCACTGACATGATTGCATAACTGCTGACTTTACAAGACTGTCAGCAATCAGGAAAACGTAATTCTGTGAGATATTTAGAGTTGTTACTGAATAGATCACAGTTAAATTCCTTAGAAACTAGTAAAATAACCCAAAGAAGGGCATCTCTGAGGGCCAGAATCAGCGGAATCCAGTCAGGTCACCGTTTGAGCATAAGTCTCTGAGAAGATTTTTGATGCTGGCAATCCGGGGGGCTGAACAGCAGGTACCAGGGATGTGCAGCAGTTGACTGGGCCTCAAGGCCACCTCTCAAGCTGCAGACTACCTCACGGGGGCTCCTTTGGCATTCTGGATATCCTGACACAAGTTTCAGTTAAAAGGAATATATCACCTAGGGAGGTATAGTCTCTTTCTCCAGGCTGCCATTACAGTCACTTTTTGCCCAAGAATACTGAATGAAAAAGAATAACTTTATAGCAGAGAAATTTTGCAATATGATCGTAGGCAGGTAACCAAGGTTTTTACACTAGTGATAAACTATATTGATTGTCTGATACAATATAAAATAGCCACCCTTTGTAATTTTCCTCAGAATACCCCATATAAGCTCAATCTAATCGAGAAAAATCCCAGTTGAGCAGCACTCTCCAAAATGCATGACAAGTATGCATGCTTCAAAACTGTCACTAACACCTTATAATTCTGTCAAGATCACACTGGTAGTCCTAGCTATTTGGGAAGCTGAGATCAGCAGGAGCTCAGTTCAAGGACAGCCCAGGTGAAAAGTGAGTAAGACTCCATCTCAGTAGAAGAAACTGAGACTGATGGCACACACCTGTCATTCCAGTTACTATGGGAAGCATAAAATAGAGAACTGCAATCCAGGGATGCCTTCAGCAGAAAGTAAGACATTTCCTCAAGATAACCACTGCAAAACCACTTCTGCTAGAAGTGTGGTTCAGCTGTAGAGCACTTGCTTAGAAGTGTAAAACCGTGAATTCAAATCCCAGTACTGCAAAATAAAAATTCAGAACTGTTTAAAATCATAAAAAACAAGGGACGTACAATCAACTGCCACAGCCAAAAGGATCATAAGAAGATTGAACAACTAACATGACTAGTGTTTTGATGGGAGTCTAGTGCAGGGGCACTGGGTAAAAAACAAGGCAATCAAAAAAAAAAAACAATCACTTGTGGTTAATGATAGTATATCAGTATTAGTTAATTATAACAAATATACCATAAATATTTTATTCCAATAATACAGCAAATGTTTTAATACTCATAATGCAGCATCTTAATATTATAGATGTGATAGACTGGCTGTGGGGTATTTGTGGGGAACTCTACTAACTTCACAGTTTTCTTCTATAATCTTAGTTTATTTTAAAAAATCTGTGAAGATAAAAGCAGAGTGCACTATTGCTTCTACAGTAAAGTGTAGAAGGAAAATTCTTAATTAAGTGCTTGTTTTAGGAAGTGGAGAGGGAAGATAAGAGAATGGCAGAGGGGATTGGTTGACAGGTACATTGTGTGCATGTATGGAGAAACACTACAATGAAACCCTCCTTGTACATCTAACCTAAGTTAATTAAAAAAAACTTAAAAATAAAAATAATTACAAAAAAGGGGCTAAAAAATATAGCTCCATGGTAGAGTCTAGCATGCATGAGTCCCAGTGTTTTATCTTTAGCAAAGAAAACAAAAAATATTAAATCAATAACAGTCCTCTTAATTAGAAGAGCAAACTAAAACTAAAGCAAGGAAAAAGAAAGAGGTAGAATGAAACAGAATAACAAAAAAAAAAATACGGTTCTTTCGAAAAATTAACACAAAAACTTAGGTAGACCAAGAAAAAAGAAAAGGCTCAAATGAGTAAAACTAGGAATAGACAGAGCATTGTAAACTTTACTGAAACAAAAAAGTAGTGAACACTATGAATTAGAAGTATAGCAACACACAGGGTATAGGAGATGAAACAGATCAAGTCCTGGAAACAAGCTAAAGGAACTCAAGAAAAGATAGTAAAACTGGTTGTGAGACTGAACTGGCATTGTAGAAGTCTCTAACTATTGGCCAACATGGCTTTACTGGTAAAAATATACTACAGTTAAAACACTAAATAAACCAAATGAAAAAATATATTCAAAGCTGCTGTGTTGCTGAGGGTTCTCCAATTTGAGCAGCCATGGTGAGGATAGAAGCTCTTTGTCCAATAACGGACCACTGGCAGTAACAACAGCAGTGGTTCCCACCGTAACCACTCACTTTTCACTGGCTATCCCAGCATAGACGCGGACAATGCACAACAGCACCCTATTGTCCAGTAGCAGCTCATTGTCAGCAGAGGTATCACCTTGTAACTTTTTCCTGTCCTTTGGTGCTACCTGCTTATACTATATCTCAAGACAAAAATGGCATCTGCTCACATAAAGCCAAGCATTTGCACCATCTCAGGGCTACATGCAGGGTTATCTACAGTAGCACATGCATGTAAGATCAATGTGCCTGAATTAGATGCCAGTGGTTCACACCTCTAATCCTATTTGGGAAACTTGGAAGTAGGAGGATCATGATTTAGGGTCAGCATAGACAAAAAGTTTACAAGAGTCCTGTTTTTCTCAACCAAGAGCAATTATGATCTTACAATTATTTCACATCATCTCATGATTACATGAAAGGCTGTTTTACCTTAACTTGCAGTTCAATGAGATAGAATGAATAAATGAAGGAGGAGACTAATAAGTAAGTAAACTGGTTTACTTTAGAAATAGATTAAGGGTACCAAGCTCTTTGTGTGGCAGGGATAGAAAAACTCTCTAGGTCACCCATTCTGTTAAGAAAATAACCTCAGAAATAGAAGACACAGTATTTCTTATCTCCAGCAGTGCTCATTCATAAGCAAGGTTCATTTCTCATGAGTTACACATCATGTAAAAGGTCACAAGGGGTTACACTGTTAAACCTACTTCTGAAATGACCTAAATAGTCCATAGGTTGTAAGAATCTAAGAAGAGATTTTTATCTCTCAAGTCTTTACCATTACTCCCATTACTGCCTGAATATCTTATACATAGAAGTGGCAGATCAGATGCTAACAATATAAACATTCCCTCCAATAAAGGTGTTCCTACAGGATGATGTACTCATCATATGTATCATGCATCATTCATGTATCCTACATCTTAGGATGTATATGTTCATTATATCTTCTATTAAAATGGAATGAACAAGAGGAAACACATGTTAATAGCAGTCTTGTTCCTTCTTATTCCTCCTTAGCCCAAATGTTTTTACTTACCTGAATTTAACTGTTTCTGAATGTGATGTCACACATGACTTTAGGTGGAAGACTATGGAACACACATCACTTCCTCTTTTAGGATATCCATTTTCTGTTCTCCCAGAAGAAAAGATACCACTGATACTTCTAACACAGCTTCCCAATGTCACCTAATAAAAAGTCCCTGCTTGGTCCACACACTGCTGTGCTGAGCCAACTCATACGGTATGGAACAGCTGTGGTCACCATGAAGGAACTCACCAGGGTGACAATGGCACATTCAGCTGTCAGCTGAGCAGCACTGAAGAGTGTCCGAACAAAGCGGTAAATCTGCTTCTGCTCTGGGTTGTGTTTGTCATAGTCTGGTGGCACTTCGGATTTCTAGGAAAAGAAATATCTTCAAACGACTCATCACCAGTAAGAGCAAAAGAAAAACAAATGGACAATCTTGTGAAACATAAAAAAGGTGGTTACCGAAAGAGGATGAAGGTTTTCATCAAAAATATCTAAGAGCATCCTTCCATCTGGGTCCCTGGTGGGGAGAACAACAGAAAATGCAGTTTTCATTCTGCAAAAAATGAGTGTTAGTCGATATAAAAATACCCTTTGATTCAACTGCGTTTCAGGAGACAGAAGCAGTGTAAAATCTGATACCACTGGTTATTCATGCATGTTGTTTTACTTGGAATAAAACTGCAAAGGCTTCAATTTCTTTTAGCATCTTAATTCTGAACAGAAGCTGAGAGAGCTGCACAAAGTACTAGAGTAACAAGGCAGAGAAAATGTGACAGTAAAAGATATTCAATGGAAGCCAGGCACCGGTGGCTCATGCCTGTAATCCTAACTACTCAGGAGGCTGAGATCTGAGGACTGCAGTTCAATGCCAGCCCAGGTAGGAAAGTCCGTGAGACTCTTACAGAGTTCAAACCCTACAACCAGCCCACCGGCCTTCCCCCCACCCTCCTGCCCCCAGCCAAAAGATACTCAATGGGTCCTAAAGATCTGTTTGAAATGGTTACAACACCCAGTCTGGTTACTACATTGATAAAGAGTTTCACAATTTCATAGTAAAAAGCAAGGCCACAAATGTCATTTTTTTTTAAAAAAAGAATAGTTGGTGTTTCCAGGATAGTAAATAGAGAATCTTCACAGAGGCATTGTCTTCACTGTGCCTCTGGCTTCTGCCAGTGACAGCTCCACTTTCATTTGTTTAATAAAACTTGAGTTTTGCCTAAAATTTTTCTCTAAAAATTCTATAAAGCACTGCTTCTGAACAACAATACAATTTTCAGTCTTTGCTTCCAATGTCAGCTAGACTTAAAATCAGAAGGCTCACCAAAAAAACATGCCCAACATACATCCATCACATTAAATGCTACAATTTCTGCTTTATAAATTTACCACCTGTATAAAAATAAAAAGAGCAAGGCAACAAAACAGCTCACTTTTTACCCCTGCATCTGGACAACAGGAATACCTCTAAAATTCAGGGATATTCTAATTTTTCATCAGATCACAGAAATCTTTCTCCTTTCTTAAAGCTCTGAACACGGATGCATGTATTCACTTAACACTTTTGCTTAAAAGAACCCTGCAAACAATTTAGATACATTTCCCCCTCCCCCCCCCCCCCCCGCCCCCTACTTGCCGCTCCAAACACCGATTCCACCTAATAGTAGAACTTGTAAGTCTACAGATAGCACCTTCTGGGTGATCTCCAGTCACACTCCTTTAATAATGTCCCTGGTATCCCTTTTCTCCTTCCTTATAGATGCTTCAAGGTACAAGGGGCTGTCTAAAAGGCAAAGCTGACCCCATACCCATTCCTTAGGCAAACAAAAACCCCATTCAATATTCCTGATGATTAAGTCCCCTTGAAAAGCCACTTAGCACTCTTGAGAAACATTTGCCAGAAGTAATTTTAAAAACAAAAACAGATTAGAAATATAAATGGAGATTAATAATGTGAGACTTCTCAGAGGATACAGGCTCCCATCAATAATGGAGGCAGGGGAACCAGTATCCTCTGAAAAGTGGACTATTAGTACAAAAAAAAAAAAAAAAAAAAAACCAGATAACCCAGCTGAATGGCACTGTTTCTATCAAGTAGAATGATCTTTGTCAAAAAGAGAATCTGCAGTCATTAGAGATCTGCAGGTTTCAATGATCAATCTGCTGTTGACAAATTAGTTTTCAGCTGAACTTTCAACACCATTCATTTAGAAGGGCTCAATTCTGAATAGCCCAATAGCTTTATTAGCTGAATAATCTCAAGAAAATATTTCCACAAGAAAATATTCTGTCATTGGAATTCATAATTATAAGGCTCTCAATACATATTGCCAAATATACTTGCATAATTACTTAATCTCTATGCCTCAAATTTTTTATTGGGAAGATGGGAGATACTATCAGTAAAACAAATTGAAATAATACATTTATTATTACCATTAAGGGATGCTGAAGGAAGTCTAAATAAGTCCTTAATAAAATGGGCACTTATTATTATCAGGTATGGCTAAACTGACTTCAAGTCCCAGAGCAGTCTAAGAATCAAGAAATCTGGGCTGGATATGGAACTCAGTGGCAGAGCATGCTTAGCATGTATGCAACCCTGGTTAAACCCCAGTGCAAACACAATAACTAAGACATTTCTTAAAGATATTAATGCAAAACTGATTTGAAACAAACCTGAATTTCATTACTGATATTACATATACTCAAGACTTCAATGTTTAAAAAGTTTGTCTAGCACAGAGCTAAACATCAAGACAAAATTTGTATTCCACTATTGTTCCAGTTCAAGAGTTCCATTTTTAAGTTTCAATGTTCAACGTTCTCTAGCGCTACAATAAACTGCAAATCCCAAATGCACAGTCTCAAAGTCATGATGGACTTTCCAGGTGTTTGTTTCAGATACCTGTGTTTGCCCAGAACACTGCTGGAAGCTCTGCCACCTACCCTATACCTCAATGACTTTCCACAACTCTTAGTTTGTAAATAACCTAAAGGTATTGTTGAGCCCCACACTTATCATGCAGCAACTCTATTACCAAACCAGTTCACAACTGAACTTCAAGCAAAATTTAGAAACCAAGTACTATATTTATGTAAATATCACATCTGTGAAACCTGACTGCTCTAAGAGAGGTCCTTGGTCTTATGACAAAGATGCTTCGGTAGTATAATTTGGATGCTAAAGGAAATAACTAAAAAAAAATTTGCTATAGATTAGGTAAAGCTAAAACCTCAAAAAAATTCTACCCTTATATGGTTTATAAATGCCTTCAATTTTTTTTCTTACAAACAAAATTTGAAAGGGTAAATTACAGATAAAACTTAAGTGTCCCAAATGTGAAACAAAGTCTTGACATTGTTAAAAATAAACTGGCAAATAAATGCATTCTAACAAATTTTATGTTGAAATAAAATACAGCAGTTTTTATTCCATAACAGTTTTTATTCCTTTTTGATGAACTGAACATTCTATCAGAAACATTATATGAAAAGGGGGCTTCTAGTACATTAAACTAACATGTTTCAAATGCCCAATTTCCTTGCTTGAATTCAAAATTACAAATTTAACTTTTTCTTCATGTTAAAGTTACACATGCAGTAATTTTAAAGTAATATTTATAAGGAAGTATTTACCCAAGTTATACAGAAAAGGACAAGTAAAAAGGCAGTTGAAATTCTTAAGAAACTTTTTCTTAAATAAGACTGCCCATGGGTGTCCTCTGAGTCCAAAGCCATTTAGCACTTACCTGAGAAGTTTTGGTACATTTCACTACCTTTAGAAATTCTGTGGATATATAACTTAAGACTACAAAATCCAAATGTTGAGGTAACTAGAAAATAGTAAGAAATAACTGGAAAATGATGTTTTTAGCATAAAGTCAATCATCCACGTACCTGTTTTTGATGTGATAATATATTGCAAGAGCTACACTGTAAAATAAAATACAGGAGTTCAATGTTTCATGAATGTATTTAAGATTTCTTACATTATGTGCTATCAGTCTGAATATCAGTATTTAAAATTTTAAATAAAAGTCAATTCATCTGAAGAGTCTCATTTCATTCAGAACACTCATCAAGAAAATGCACTCTTCAAATTAAATCATTCTGATGTTCACTCCTAGGAATAAGTATACTTTTTATGGAAACAAAAGAACACAAAGCAAAATTTAGAAACCAATTACTCTATCAGAAACTAAGTTTTCTCCGATTGTAAAATATAAATATAGGCACTATATAAAAGACAGATGGTACAAATTAAACACCTTTAGAAATCTCCAACTCTTTGTCTACTGATTTGTCTATTCTCAGCCAGAGTTTAAGGTAAGCCTGAACTACATAGTGAGACCCTGTCTGAAAACAAAATACAGTAATATAAACAAACTGATATTTTAGCAAGCCATGGTAGTAATATCAGCCTCTGAAGACTAAAACTAAATAAATAAATATTCCTTTGCTAAAATATAACTACTATTAGCTTAAGCTATATGCCCATGAACAGGCTTACATTTTCCTTACGCCAATGCTGACATTTCTTTCTTACCTTAGGAATTACTCCTCAAAAACACAGTTTTAAGTGGCTGATAATGCTGCATTACAATTTTAAATAATTTACTAACCATTCCCTTATTATACAATATTTTTGTTATTTCTCTTATTTATTTTTGTACTACTGGGTTTGAACTCATGGGATCTAGCTTGCTAAGCAGATGCCCTGCCACTTGAACCACATCTCCTACCAGCCCTTTTTGCTCTGAGACAGGGTCTTTCTTTTTTACCAGATCCTCCTATATTTTACTTCTTGCTGCCTGAGATGACAGGACCATATACACCTAGCTTTCCTGTTCAGATGAGTTGATGGCTTGTGAATTTTTGCCCATGCTGGCCTGGAACTATGATGCTTCTAATCTCAGCTTCCTGTATAGTGGATGGCCTAAAACTCAGCTAAGGTTGTAGCTTAATTCAACAATTATACTTAACAGCACAGTGAAAAACATTCTCAGAGACATATCAGTGCTGTATTTCCACAAGAAAATATTCTGTAATTGGAATTCATAATTATAAGGCTCTCAATACATATTGCCAAATATACTTGCATAAAACCTATTAGTGTAATTCCCATAAAATGTTATGTTCATCTCACACACACAGGTTAAATATTTCTCCAACTGAGTAGGAACATGGAGTATCTATGCCTATCAAGTTCTCTGTGTGAACACTTGCCACTATTTTTAAATTCCCTTTAAAAAAAAACTGTATTTAGATCTTTCCACATCTTTCTGTTTTACTTTAAAATTTATTGAGGTGGCCAGAAATTTTTTGGGGGGGGGGTTCTAAGAATATAGCTAATCAACTATATAGGACTGTGTACTCTCAGAGCATGGAACGCATCACCCAGCAAGCCAACATTGAAACTGGAGCCCAGACCACAGACTCTAAAGAGCTCAAATGTTTGTCTGTGACTTAACATGATCTAGCTACTCTTGTTCTGACACCAAGTTCATTGTTCTTTATCTATTCACCCAAATCATTTCAGCTAAGTGTTAAAAATACTCAAAAACATGTGATAACATCCTTTTTCCTAATCTCTCCAAATGTATCTAAGCTGATGAGGAGACTGTAGTTGGGGTGAAAGGGCTTCAGAATTCTAAATAGTATCATTAGGTTTCAAAGTATTTTCATGTATATTAATAGCTCTGTTTCAGAAATAGAAGGATACTACCAATCTTGTTTTATGAACGAGAAAACTCAGATTCAGATATATAATCCTGTTCAGTTATATAATGCTTTTGTGACCTCTGGTTCTACCCTGTTGTCTCTAGAAAAAAGGGAGAAGTGTTGCTTTGTTCTTTAATAGTCATGTTGTGCTGACTGCTTTACTAAATCTAATATTAGATTTAAATGGAATGTTTCAAGTGACTGGCTTTAGTATGGTGATTGGTTTAGTATCCTTAACTGATTAGGAAAAACAAAAAACACAGTTCTTGCTTTTTCCAATAAAGAATATGAGAAAAGACACTAAAGTCAGGCCAACCTGGGTCCAAAACCTGGCTCCTTCACTTACAAGGGTTAATTCAACTCTCTAGACCTTTATTTCTTCACTATAAAATTAAGACAATACAACCTTGAGTTGTTATTATGATCAAATGAAATACAACATATAAAATCATCTTAAATATAAATCTCAAAAAGTGAAAGCTTCAATCATTTCTAAAATGGAAGTGTATTATAGGTTTGTTGGCTTCTGCAGCTTCGCCTCAAGATGGAGCCAAGACAGTTACTCTGTGGCCAATTCCCTCTCAAACATATGTCCTGGACTGTGAGGGCATTGCAGATAACTCAGGCACTGCTTGTTTCTATAGGTCAGTTTTCTGGGAAAAAAAGGGCAGTCAATGGACAAACGGATCAGTCCCAGGCTTTCAGTTTTACTTCAAGTGCCCAGCCTCAGAGATCTGGTTGTTTCTGCCATGTCCTTGGAAAAAATGGCAAGGCTGCTTCATGGACAAACTAGAGTCAAGCCAAGAAAAAGAATTCATCTTACAAAAGGGTTCTGGGTTTGGGTCTGTTCAAGTTCTTTGCCACATAGCTAGGAAGGGAAAAAAGCTATTTTTCTCCCCTTCCCCCGCACCACTCACCCACCATCAAAATAAAACAAGTAGGCACTGCACTTGCCTTATTCTCGCCTAGAGGTGAGAGCAAAGCCCATGACAATCCTAAGACTTCTGAGGATCAAGAAAGGGTAGTATCCAGGAACACAGAAGGGCAACCATGAAGATCAAGTGGTCTGTTATCTGCTCTCTGACCTCCAAGGCAACAGGCTACAATTTTCCACTGTATGATGAGAGTTCTCCACATTCCCCACTTTACTTTGATCACCACTCCTGTAACTGTTACAGGATTTTCCGGGGAGGAACTGGCTATAGAAGCATTCAGGAAAGCTGGCAAAATCTAAAATCATACTACAGCTGTTGGCATTTAGAGAAAAGATAAGAAAATCAAGTTCTCGTAATAAGAAATGTCGACAAATAAGGAGGCACAACTCATGTCCAGACTTTTTTTTTTGTCCTGGGGCCTGAACTCTGAGCCTGGACGCTGTCCCTCAGTTCTTCAGCTCAAGGCTAGCACTCTACCACTTGAGCCACAGCTCCACTTCCAGTGCTGAGGAATCAAACCCAGGGCCTCATGTACGCAAGGCAAGCACTCTACCACTAAGCCACCTTTATTTCCCAGACTTTTATACTTCTTTACTTAGAACTATCCTTCAACCTTTCACCTAACCTCCAGTTTGAATTTACACATCTGTTTGATAACTTGGGCTATCCTCAATTTTGGACTGTCACCCCCAAATTAGTACATGAATCTGTTAGAACTCAAAGCATTCTCTCACAGAAACAGGTTACAGTTGGTATGAAGAAAGCATGGTTAGATAACAGGTGCTTATTTAAGCCAATAACGAGGCTGAACTACATTTTTAATGGTTTTTAGCAATGTAATATCAGGGATGGGACAAACTGTTCTTGGACTGAAGGAAAAGAAATTTTTTTAAAAAGGAAAATAGTAGTTTCCTTTTTCATAGGTTTTGGGTAAGGTTAAGGCAAGGCTGTAGATTGTGTAGGAGGTATCTTCCTGTCCCTGTTTTGAACACTCATATCTCTTTTGATGAAATATTTCCTTCTTCTTAAAGCCCCAGATGGAGAACTCTTCAGGCCTGCCCAAAACAATCTACAAGTAGGACTGAGTAGAAGTCAACTGCTCTATAGGTTCTCTGAGGCAGACAAGTACCAAGAGCCACTCAATACACAAATCTTCTAGGTTTTCCACTACTCTCTACAACTCCAACTGAGCTAATTTAGAAAAATACTGCAAAGAGTCACTGACTACCCATTTTCCAGCAGTAAACCAGACTAGGCTAGTGAGTGGTTCAGATGAGGTCACTACTCAGACCTGACCTGTGCAGTAAGGACACACCTCTTCCAGCTGTTACCCGTGACTGTTAGGATTTATACCTGCTCATCACTTGCCATGCCCCAAGGGCTGGGGCAGCAAGGAAAGAGGAAGCTACATTTCTATTTGCATCATGAAAGCATGTAGCCCCTTTAGCACAGAAGAAACTCTCTTATGAATGGACACATCCACCCGTCTCCTCCAGTGGACACTGTCCATAGAAGCTGTTCCCATTGCCTTACTAATGCTTCTAAGTCTGAAAAGTCTGTCAAATAAATCACTTCACATTTAGAAATTTCAACACTTATTTCACATGCTAACATGTATTGTAGTTAAATGAGTACTTTCCTGAACAAGTATAAAAGTAAAATGTCCCACATTTTTCACAGTTAGGTCACTGACCTACACATGGAGATCTCTGAGATTCCTACCAGAAGTAGTTGCTGTGGGTGCTGATGGGGCATTATAGTGAAAACCAGTGCTCCTTGACTCCTCAAATAAGGAAACAGAAACTCTGAAAGAGAAAGGATTTGACCTACATTCCTTCTTCCTTCCTTCCTTCCTTCAAAAGTCCAGTTTTAAATTTGGAATTAAGGCCCCATGTGCAAGATCCTACTAGGAAGAGAACCAAGGGCCATCTCCCAATTCCAGCAGCTGTTTTAACATGCCAGGGGTCCAAGCTTCAACAGGAAAAGCCTCACTTTATTTAGAAGGAGAAATATTAGCAGCATTGTCAACATGGCTTCAATCAAAAGTGAAAATGCAAGAAGCATTCACAAAAATCAAAAGATATATTTTAGATCATCTGTACTTGAAGTAATTTAAGATAATGGGTCTTTTTATATCAACAGTAATAGGCACAAACATCCCAAACACCTGACAACTATCAAAGCCACTTTTTAATTAAAAATTCCCAAATTGTCAATGTTCCCCCGATCCACACCAATCACCCCCCAAACCCTATAACCAGTCAGCTTACACATCAAGAGAAAGGCATAAGTATAGCATTCAATTAAAGAAAACTCTGAATACCCACCATTTAATTGTATACTTGAGGTTTGGTTGACTGACTGTGCTATCATCTAGGAAAATAGTGGAGCAGGAGCTGTATTTCCTTGCTATTTGTCCTGGAGGATGCTAGAAAATAACAGCAACAAGACAAAGACAATTACTCAGGGCTCAAAATTTTTTCAAGGAACATCACCCCTACACATCAAATTCGACCACAAAAAAATGTCTTGATGAGAAACGGTAACACTAATACTAGCAACAGAATAAAAACACTTTATTATAAGCTGAAGTTCCTTGTCCTTCCACATGTAAGTTACCACCACCACTCTGGGTCCCCAACCTTCTTCACTGGGAGAACAATATACTGTACCATTGCAATCAAACAAGTCTTTCTAGAGTCCATACAAATTATATGTCTGGTCCCTAAGTGAAGCATGGAATACATCACTCACTATGCCAATGAAGGCTATGAAATCAAGTTGAGAATCCACTATACCAATTTCTCTACTCATGAGGTACAGCTAACCTAGAAGCCAAGATTTATTTAGTCTCCTGGTTAATCTACTTAAATTTTAACAAGGGAAGTTATAAATAAAAATATTCCATTGTTGGTGGGAAAATGCAATTTTTTTAAATTGTAAAGGTGATGTACAGAGGGGTTACAGTTAAATAAGTGAGGTAATAAATACGTTTCTTTTTGAACTATGTCACCTTTTCCCTCATTTTCTCCCAGTTTTTCCCTCCCAACCCCTTCCCTCACAAGTTGTGTCGTTCACTATTCAACATAGTTTCTAGTGAGTATCACTGCTGAATTAGTTCACTTTTTCCCACCATTTCTGTACTTCCATTTATCCATCCCATATAGGATAAATTTACAAAAGGTACAGAAATAAAAAAGTGACAAAAAGGGAAAAACAGAAAGAAAAAAAACACAAAAAGCAAAATAAAAAACTCTTGTTTTTATTTCTTGGAGTTCATTTCAATAAGCATCATTTTATATGGCCATATACACATTGCTATTGAGCCTTTGTGATCTTCTCCTAAGAATATCCTCTTCTGGTCTTAGTGTGTGAATGTTTATAAAGCTCTGTTTAATTTTATCATGTGTAAATGTAACTTTTTGTTTTTTGCAATCCATTGTGTTAACCTGTAGATTTATAGACACATTCTGATTTCTACAAATGAAGGAAACTACTATGTTTCTTTGGGTTTCACTTACTTTATATATTTTTTCCAAGTCTTTCCATTTCCTTACCAATGAGGCAGTGTCATTCTTTCTAATGGAAACATAGAATTCCATTGTGCGTGCGTGCGTGTGTGTATGTATGTGTGTAGGTATGTATATACCACATTTTCTTGATCCATTCTTCCACTGAGGGTCATCTGGGCTTATTCCATATCTTCACTATGGTAAACAATGCTGCAATGAACATGATTATGATTGTGCTGGTAGCTTTAATGTGGCCTGGTTTGTAGTCAATTGGATAAATGCCCAGGAGTGGAATTACTGGGCCATAGGAAAACTCTAAGTTTAGTCTTTTGAGGAACCTCCACACTGCTTTCTAGAGTAACTGACCAATTCTACGTTCCGACCAACAGTTTAGTACTGTTCCCTTTTGGTTTTCTTCATAATGGCCATTCTAACTGGGGTGAGGTAGAATCTCAATGTTGTTTTGATTTGCATTTCTTTTATGGCCAGAGATGTTGAATATATCTCTTCATATGTCTGCTGGCTATTTGTACTTCTTCTGAGAAGTCTCTCTTTAAGTCTCCCTGGACCTCCTCCCTCCACAGTCATGGGGCTTGAATTCTGGGCCTGGGAGCGGTCTCTGAGCACTTCAGTTCAAGGTTAGCACTGTACTACTTGAGCTAAAGCACCACTTCCAGTTTTCTGGTGGTTAATTAAAAATAAGAGTCTCAAGGACTTTCCTGCCTGGGCTGGGGCTTTGAATCATGATCCTCAGATCTCAGCCTCCTGAGTAGCTAGAATTACAGGTGTGAGCCACTGGTGTCCAGCTCTCTTTAAGTCTTTTTTTTTTTTGGGTCTGGTCGTGGGGCCTGAACTCTGGGCCTGGGCGCTGTCCCTCAGCTCTTCAGCTCAAGGCTACCGCTCTACCACTTGAGCCGCAGCGCCACTTCTGGCTTTTTTCTTTTTGCTTGTATGGTGCTGAGGAATCAAACCCAGGGCCTCAGGCTTGCAAGGCAAGCGCTCTACCACTGAGCCACCTTCCCAGCCCTCTCTTTAAGTCTTTAGCCAACTAACTGGACTGCTGTTTCTTTGAGATGTTTTGGTGGATTTAATTTCTTGAGCTCTAAAAATATTTTAGCTATGAGGCCCTTCTCCCAACCAGCGGGCTATTTATCGTGCTATGTCCTTTAACACACAAGAAGCTCTTCATTTTGATGCAATCCTATTTCTTCAGTCTTTCTTTGACTTGTTGTGATTCTGGATCTTAGGAAGTTTTCAACAATGCCAAAGAGCAAATCCTAGTGTTTCCCCTATCCCTTCCCATAATACTTTCATTGTATTTGGCCTTATATTGATCCATTGGGAATTGCTTCTGCTGCAGGGTGATATATATAAGGATCTAGCTTCAGTTTTCTACAACTGTATAACCAATTCTCCTAGCACCATTTGTTGAAGAGGCTGCCTTTCTTCCATCCTGTGTGTTCTGTTTTTTGTTTGTTTGTTTCTCCTTTATCATATATTAGGTGGCTATGTGACTGTGGGTTCATTCCTGGGTCTTCTATTCTATTCCATTGGTCCTTAGGCCTTTTCTTGTGCCAGTACCAAGTTATTTCTATTACTATGGCTTTGTAATAGAAGTTGAAGTTTGGTGCTGATATTCCTCCAGCACTATTCTTCCTGCTAATGAATGTTTTTGCTATTCAGGGTCTTCTATTATTCCATATGAATTTTTGAACTACTTCCTCTACATCATTTAAGAATGCTGTTGGATTTTGATGAGTATTATTGAATCTGTAGATAGCTTCAGGCAGTATTGCCATTTTCACAATGTTAATCCTAATCCAGGAGCATGGAAGGTTTTTCCACATCCAAAATGTATTTTGAAGGGGAATACTGTTTGACGCTTTTTAAATACAACCAATGGTTGATCCTTTTTTTTTTTTTAATTGTGAAAATACCGTACAGAGGGTTACAATTACGTGGGCAAGGTAATGAGTGCATTTCTTATCAAGCATTGTTGCCTCCTCCTTGGTTTCCCCTTCCCATCTCTTCCCATCTCCCCGCCCCCCCCCCCAACTCCCTCCTGTGCCAAAGTTGTAAAGTTCATTTTCGACATAACATCTTGCCAGTCCTGGGGCTTCTTTTGCTCAAGGCTAGCACTCTAGCACTTCTGGCTTATTCTGTTTATGTGGTACTGAGGAATCTAGCCCAGGGCTTCATGCATGCTAGGCAAGTACTCTACTACTAAGCCGTATTCCTAGCCCCCAATGGTTGATCCTTAGTATACGTAGGCACTCTTATGAGTGGTTCCTTTATAAGTATACAAGTTTTAAGTTAGAGCCACTTCTGAAAGCCTATGGTAAAGAAAATGGAACTTAAAATATACAATGATGACAGCTAATCAGATGCCAAGTAGATTTTTGACAATCATTTGGGAATTATGATTTGTAGGCAACAATCTGGATATTTTTGGGTCATTCAAAAGATTTCCTATTTGTCTGATGTTATGTTGGCAGTCTGCAATTCTCAGCAATGAAAAGAAAACTAAGTCCTTAGGAATCATAAAATTTCCTGCCTGACTGCTCACCTACTAGGTAAGACTCTTAAGATACAGAATTTGTGATTTCAGTAAACAAAAAAAAACTTTAATACAAATTAAAGACCAAATGCCCTGTTCAATGCTTTGACATTTACTTCTTACATATTAGGCACCTTCTGTAATAAAATTTAAAAAGTCTTCATCAGCCTGAGAAATAAACATAATAGCCTCTCAAAATGAATAAATACTAGTATTTGGTCTAACCAATTCCTTAAATCATAGCTAGAGGGCATTGCACTACCAAGTACTCTACTTCTCCCTAACCCTGGCTTTATATAAATAGCATGAGGTCAAAAGGAAACAGGAAATTTCAGGTGAGGCTTTTATCTCTCCTTATGTCCTACTCCCCGGCCCCCCACTCCCACACCACCCTCACCTACCTCTTCGGGCTACATGAAACAATTGTATCGATGTTTTAGGGGAATTTAATGCAGCATCACACTATATTACAACTGAGCTCCTACAACTGAGCTTCAGTAACGTTCACTGGTTCATTTTCATACTACTGCTGAGGATTCTCAAAAAGATTCAAAGAAAGGTCTTTGAGAAAGGTGCATGAAGTGCCTCCCTCCTCCCCTGTTGCAGAACTGGGCATTGAACATAGAACCTTGTGCTAAGTAAGTACTCTTTATCATTTGAGCTAAGCCCCTGGCCCTCCTGGTATTTTGCTTCAGGGACACAGTTTTGCTAATTTTGCTCAGGCTAGTAGTGTCAAACTCATGATCCTCCTGTCTTTGTTGCCAGGATAGCTGGAATTATTGGTACGAACCGCCATGCCCTCTTCCTTATCTTTGTTGCTACCCAGTCTCAGTTCTTTTACCAAACTTTACTTCTCTACACACCTTTATATGGAATGAACTTTTCTTCTCCCTCTACACATCTTCTTAGGATTCTCATCCACTGTATAATGACAGTTGAATTAATATTCAACTTCTTTTTGCTTACTAATGAGCAGCTCTCTTTTGATCTAACCTGCCTGGCAGACCTCTTCACTAGAATCTTGCTTGTGGGTCCCTCATGTGGTACATGAATCTGTTCTTCTAATCAACTCAATGGCTTAAAAGCAGAACTCCACTACACTGCCTTCTTTCATCATCTGCTATTGATTCTACCTCCTTGGTACCTTTAAAATCATCCTTTTCTCTGTAGTCTCTAGCACTATCCAGTATTATTTCTCCCTTTTACCACCTGTCTCTTAGCTCAGTCCTCATTTGATGATACTGTCCTCATTCTATGAAGCAGAGCAAATCATGAGACTGTCCACTAAGAGGAGGGACACTCACTCCCTTTTCATCTCTTCATATGTACCACTCACTCCTTTTTTTCGTACACACTGAC